AAAAAAAAAAAAAAAAAAAAAAGACTTCAAAGTAGCTATTATAAACATGTTCAGAGAACCAAAGGAAATTATGATTACAGAAGTAATGGGAGGTATGGGGATAGTGCTGCATCAACTAGAGTATAACATCAATAAAGAGAAATTATAAAAAAGAACCAGATGGAAATTCTACAGCTGAAAAGTGCAATGACTAAAATAAAGTCAATACATGAGCTCAACAGTAGATCTGACCTGGCAGAACAAAGAATTGATCTACTGAATATAGATCAATAGAGATTATGCAAGCCAAAGAACAGAGAGGGGAAAAAATGAGGAAAAATGAAAAGAGCCTCAAAGAAATGTAGGCCACCATTAAGCACATTAACATATATACAATAGGAATATTACAGGGAGAGAAGAGAAAGAAAAATATTTGAAGAAATGTTGGCTCAAAATTTTTCAAATGTATAGAAAAACGTAACTCACATAACTAGGAAGTTCAATCAACTCAACTCCAAGTAGTATAAACTAAAAGAGCTGCACATACGGATACATCACAGTAAAAATTCTGAAAGTCAAAGGCAAGGAGAAAAATCCAGAAAGCAACAAGAGAAAAATGACACATCCCTTACAAGGGAACCCCAATATGATTAACAGCTGACTTCTCAGCAGAAACAGAAGAGGTCACAGGCAGTGGCATAACACACCCAATCTCACGTTAAGCAAAGCTGTCTTTCAAAATCGAAGGTGAAATAAAGACATTCACAGACAAATGAAAACAGTTGTTTGCAGAACTACATTAACAAGAAACTCTAAAATTAAGTTTTTCAGGTTGAAAGCCATTTACCCCAGAAGATAATTCAAAGAAGGAAGGAAGACCTCTAATCCATAACCTAACCTTCCGCCTAAAGAAGCAAACTAAAAGCAAGCAGAAGTGAGAATAAAGATTAAAATGGAAATTAATGAATAATAGAAAAATAGAGAAAACCAATGAAACCAAAAGTTGGTTCTTTAAAAAGCTCAACAAAACGGACAAACCTTTAGCAGACTGGCCAAGAAACAGAGCAAGACTCAAATCACTCATATAGGAAATGAAAGAAGAGGCATTACTACTGACATTACAGAAATTAAAAGATGATAAAGGAATCCTACGTATATTAAGTAACTTAGATGAAATGTACAACATTCCTAGAAAGATACAAACTATGAAAACTGACTCAAGAAAAAAACAAGTGAAGAGATTGAATTAGGAATTTAAAAACTATCGGCAAAGAAAAGCCCAGGCCCAGACGGCTTCACCACTGACCTCAACCACACATTTAAGGAATAATCAATACCAATTCTTAAAAAACTCTCCTCAAAAATAGTAGAGGAGGGAACATTTCCTACACATTTTATAAGACCATTATTACTCTGACAAAACCAGACAAGGCACCATAAGAAAACTACAGACTAATATCTCTCCTGATATGGACACAAAAATCCTCAACAAAATACTGACAAACTGAATCCAGCAACATATAAAAAGAGGTACACACTATGACCAAGCGGGACTTACTCCAAAGACGCAAGTGGTTTAACATCTAAAAATTAGTTAACATAATACAACATGCCAATTAAATAAAAATCAACAGGACTTAAAGTTGTAAAGAAATTTTTGTCCTGTTACCAAAAAACATAAAAACTGTTAATATAGGAGTCTTTCTGCTGTCTATCCCTGAAAGTATAAAAAATAATGTATCTTAGATTATAAGTTATTTCTTATGAGGTCAAAATTATGTTTGCTTTAAAATGGACACAAATGTATTATTTTACAAAAGTGATAATCAAAACCCTACCCAACGTGAAGGATCACTGATCAAATTAATAAAAAGTGCTGATAATTTGGTCCGTCGGATTTCTTGACATGTTGCACATGAAACTGCCATGAAGCATTCAGCACAAGCCTTTCGGACTCCCCACACATTATCAGAACAAAGCTGGAAAAATCTGGGCAGCTACGTGAAAAGGAAAGAGTCTTGTTAGTTGGATAAAGATAGCAGATTTCATTAGTTACTTCGTTTTCATTTTCTGCTTTGTTTTTTTTGTCTGTTTGTTTGTTTTGAGACAGAGTCTCACTCTTTTGCCCAGGCTGGAGTGAGGTGGTGCGATCTCGGCTCACTGCAAACTCCGCCTCCCGGGTTTAAGCGATTCTCCTGCCTCAGCCTCCCAAGTAGCTGGGATTACAGGCGTGTGCCACCACGCCCAGCTAATTTTTGTATTTTTAGTAGAAATGAGGTTTCGCCATGTTGGCCAGGCTGTTCTCGAACTCCTGACCTCAGGTGATCCACCCACTTTGGCCTCCCAAAGTGCTAGGATTACAGGTGTGAGCCACCACGCCTGGCCTCAGTATTTTAAATATTGGATTGTCTTAAAAAGTAGGATCTATTCGTATTTATACTCAACAATATTCAATAAATCACATCTAATTTATAACTCAACTGGCTATGCAAAAGCACTCTCAACAATCACAGCTTAATGTTATACAAGCGCTTGCCCCTAAGCTTAATTATTTTGCATAAGAGATGGCTTCAGAAACTCTTTAGGTATGATGCCTTATACATCAAGTATATGCATCTTGTGTACTACTTAAAACTAACTTGCTATACATTTAATATGCCATCAACATTCTTGAGGGTTGCAACAAAATTAAAGATTCAATTGAACAAGAATTGATTTGCTTAACAGAAATGGAAGAGGTAAAAACAGATCAATGGTTCTGAAACGTATCTATATTTTTAATAAATATCAAAAATATAATTCAAACACCCAGATTACAGATATTTAAACTCCTAAATTCAAAGTTATTATCTTTCTGGTTTATATTCATGGAATTGTGTTAATAAAACTTTGGAGTAAATGTGTGCATTTCAAACTTTATGTACTACTTTGTAACACACACTGTTTACTCCTTTGTATCTGCAATACTTACCAACATTTCTTCAGTAGCTTGCTGGCCAACTACACTGCAAATATCTCCAAAATTGGCAGCACAGACCTGACAACAAAAGCATCATTGACATTTCAAAATATTACACATAAGGTTCTTCTAAGATAATCTTTTAAATGTCATGTATCAGTACATTAACCACTAGCACTATGTTTTTAAACAGAAGAAAAAAAATACCTTTCGAACGTGAAACATTCTGCAATCGCAGCACATCTCACAAAACCTAGGGAGGATAAGACGCTCTGTAATGTCCTTCCCAACCATGGGAGCCATTTTGCACATTATCTAAAATAAGTAAGAACAAACACACAACTGAAAATATCAAGTAAGGCTCTTTCAGTTAAATTTAACAATTTAATAAAAGTATATATAATTTAAGGAAACAAAATATGATATGGCATCATTATACTATATACATCACAGAAAATATTCATAGCCAATTATTAATTTCATCTTATTTATCTAAGCAGGAAACAAAGACAGATATTAACCACAATCAATAAAAACAACCAATAAATACTTCATGCCCAATAAACCCACGGAAAATCCTAACAATTTCATTTTTGTCCAGTTTCCATCTTATTACTACTTCATCATTTTGCCTGGTAATTTTAAAAGCAAAACAAACAAAAACCTACATTTTCCCAATTTAAAAAATTAGTGACTGTTCAAGGGGAAAATTATCCTCAGGAAAGATCTAGATTTAGCATATCTGTATTGCTAAGAAAATAATTCAGTCCTTGCCTTGAAAAGCACCCAGTGAACTAAAGCTCATACATATCAGAACCATGTTCTGGTTTTGCAAAGCTTCAGTTCCAGGGAAAGCGTGGACACAGTTCTGATACAGGCACGTTTCAGTTAAAAGCAGGCAAAGTGAGGATTAACTTTATTTGAAAACTGGCCCTCTATTTAGATACATTGCTCCCGCAGTTAATACAGAAAGAAATGGGATAGCCTGTCGTCATTTAACAATTCTATCAATTGCTAGACTGTACAAACAGGACAAAATAAAGAAGTAAAAGAGATACATAAAGATTGTAAAGAAAGAAAATTCTCTCTATTCAAATATGACATGGTTGTCTATATAGAAAATCAGAAGGAATCTACAAAGAAGCCACTAGAATAAATAAGTATGTTTAGGAAGGTTGTAGGCTATAAATTAGACTACAAAAATCTATTCTATTTCTACAAATTAGCAATGAACTGGAAAATTTAAAAACCGTATCATTCACAGAAGTACTTTTAAAAAAATATGAAATTGAACGAAATATACTCAAGAACTTTCTGCTGAAAACTATAAAAGATTAAAGATATAAATCAAAGACCTAAATAAATAGATCTACCATGTTCAGAGACTGTAAAACTGGCAATTCTCTCCAAATTGATCTACAGATTCAACACTATCCCCATGAAAATCCCATCATCATCATAACTGGAGACAAGGCCTACATCTCCTAAATCCCAAAGCCAGTTTTGTTTTTTGAATAAGCATCTCCATGCTCTAGTTAACAATTCAAAGTTATGCTGTATATCACTGATGTAGCATAACTAAATTTATTTAAAAGTGAATTATTTTATTAAGAAATTAGTTTTTACTAAGAAATAATTATAACTTCTCAATCAAGATAGAGAAAATATGGAAGCCAAGAAATATAAAACATGACCAAAAAACAAACACAACTGTAAGAGAATCATGAGATTCCTACTACCACTGGATATAGTTTTTAAATTTTTTATTATAATGTTTTACTAATTTCACATTGCATCGAGAATGATAATACAGCAACTTAAATAGCTCAATATAAACCAAAAATTAGGCCAAGACCAAAACTGACTTCCTTCATTGAAAAAATCTTAAAGTAAAAAAAGAAATAATGATGTTTTGAAACTAGGAAGTAGTGGTGGTCATACAACTTTGTGAACATATTAAATGCCACTAACACTTTAAAATGATTTTATGTCGTGTAAGTTTCACTTCAATAAAAACATTACTGAAAAAGTAAATTTATTATTAACTGGTAACTGAGTATCTAAAAATAATAGATTCAAGAAATTCTTCAAGGGAAAGAGACTAGAAAGATCATCTAATTCATCCCACTAATGATAATCCAGAAGCACTACATATAGTGTAGTTTTTTAAAAGTATCAACAAAGATGTAACCATATTATTTTAGGTTTAAGGAGTGAACTCTTACTATCCAAATAGATTTGAATAAATTTATCATCAGAATTACTACTATCCGAATTCAGGAACCACAGATGTGAATCACAACAGATACTACTCCATTCTAATTCATGCCCTCTCACGGCCTTCAAGTAATCAGAATATTTGCAAACTAAGTCAAAAAAATCCAGAATCTTCCTATTACATTTGACTTTATGATGTGCATAATGGCTTAACAATCTGTATATTCTTCTGATAACCATCAATGATGTCATATTTCCTGGGAAATGTACTTGCCTGACCATCCTTCCCACAAAGACCGTACCTGTCAGAGCAGGAGCCAAGTATTATTTTATTTCCACTGTGCTGACAGTGCCTAGAAAAGTGCTCAATACCTGCTGAAGGGGTTCAAGTGTTTCTTCGTTCAATACAGGGTTTTTAAAATTTTAACTGCACTGATAAAATAACCATTTCAGTTTTCCATTTTGACATAATAATTTACAATTATTTATTGTTTTCTTATTGTTTGCAGAAGGTACACTTTCCTCTGTAAGCATTTATGTCCCCTTCTAGCCCTGATTATATTTCAAATTTAATGATTTGTGGCAACTTTAACAGAAAAATGTTAAACAAGGTAAAGCAGCCTTTTCTTTTTTTTTTAAGACAGTCTTGTTCTGTCAACCAGGCTGGAATGCAGTGGAATGATCTCCGCTCACTGTAACCTCTGTCTCCCAGGTTCAAATAATTCTCGTGCCTCTGCCTCCAGAGTAGCTGGGATTACAGGCATGTGCCGCTACACCCAGCTAATTTTTTTTGTATTTTTAGTAGAGATAGGGTTTTGCCATGTTGGCCAGGCTGATCTCAAACCCCTGGTCTCAAGTGATCCTCCCACTTTGGCCTCCCAAAGTGCTGGGATTACAGGAGTCAGCCACTGCACCCAGCCCAGCCTAATTTTTTTTCTTCCTAGAGGCAGAGTCTTGCTCTGTCACCCAGGCTGGAGTGCAGTGGCCTGATCTTGGCTTACTACAACCTCCACCTCCTCCCAGGTTCAAATGATTCTCCTGCCTCAGTCTCCCAAGTAACAGGGACTACAAGTGCACACCACCATGCCTGGCTAATTTTTGTATTTTTTCAGTAGAGCCAGGTGTCACCATGTTGCCCAGGCTGGTCTCAAACTCCTGATCTCAAGTGATCCACCCACCTCAGCCTCCCAAAGTGCTGGGATTATTAAAGGCATGAGCCACCGCGCCCGACCCCAGCCTAACTTTTAATAAGCACCTCTTATCAGCCACATTTTGCATAAACGGAAAAATGCCATTTGACTTACAGCCACAGCTTCTGTTTTCACATCATCATTGCTATCTGGGGCTGTCAGCTCTATGAGGACAGGGCACACTTTGGTCTCCACATCAAATCGTTCAATGAGCTCCTGCTCCAGCAGAGCCAACAAAGCTGCCTGACTTGTTTTCCTCACCTAGGAGAAAAATAACAACACAAACAAAGTACATATGCGACACAACAAAATTCTACCACTTGACTTTTAAAACAAAGATTTCTCACCTCAAAGGGACCCATAACTGGCAAAACTCTGCAAATAAATGTTTGTGTTTATTTTCTTCAACTATTACAAAGACTACAGAACTTGGTAGATTGTGTTGTAACAGAGGAAGTGGACAGAGTCATCCTGGTAAAAGGTGCCTCACAAAGTAACAAACATTTTGAGGGACCCCTAGGAGGTTACCAAGTGACAGTGCAGTTACTAGGCATTGTCTAGAATGGCATTAAAGGGATATACTAGATTTGTCAGACTCTAAACACATCTTGTCTAAGATAAATGTTCATTTTTGAAAAACACTAACCGAGTTAAAGAGGAAAAAAACATTCCAAAGAGAACACTTAGGCTAGGCTATTCTCCATATATTACACTACGCAAATTTCTTTTAAGAACATATAAATGGTACTCTTACCTGATTATTCTGATCTGCAAGATATCTAACCACAATAGGTAGTAAGAATTTGGAAAAAGCGTATGGTATTGAAGGCCGGTTTTCTTGACAAAACAGTGCGATGTGAGGCACCTGTTCCATCAGCTCCGCTCTCACAGTTGGTTCTATTGAGATAACAGCAATGTGAGCAAACATGTTCTCCTGCAGCAACAAAACCTTCATCTGGACTTGAGGATACTTAGGAAGGCTTTGGATTTTCATCTTCAAAATATAAAGGACTTGGGACAACATCCTTTAATTCTGCAATCCTTTTCAGAGTCATACACAGATCAATCCCATGAGTGAAAGGAGGACCTTATCTTCACCCCAAGCTTCTGTTGTTCACAGTATGCACTGAGCATCTAACCATTTCTTAACAATAAATTTATTCATCACCTACACTGTGCCACACTGTGCGAGGGGTTAAATATCCTATCTGATATTTACATCAATACTGTGATACATACATAGTATTATCGATAAATTCCACTATTTAAGAACCTACTAGGACAAGTCATAAAAACTAGCTCCTAATCTCAACTTAGTCAATAAATGAAAGATACATAATTAGACTTAACTAAGACTAAAAATGGGTAAATGAAAATTAAAGGTGACAAATATTTTTTAAAAACCTGAAAAGACCCAAGTGCATATGGCAAATTTAAATGCGAGAAATATGGCATTTCAAATCTCTGGGCTTCAAAAAGATGAAATGTCTAAGAAGCAGCAGAAGGAAAATCAGCTAGTTAGCACAGAACGAAAGTACCTACTGCACATCATACATAAAGATCAAAAGTACTAAAAGATAATATTAAATGTTCAATCTTGAGATGGGAAGACAAAACCCAAAAATCAACCATAAGACCAACTAATTTTACTTTATAAAAACTTTATTATAGGCTGGGTGTGCCTATAATCCCAGCACTTTGAGAGGCCGAGGCGGGCAGATCACTTGAGGTCAGGAGTTCGAGACCAGTCTGGCCAACATGGTGAATCCCGTCTCTACTAAAAATACAAAAATTAGCCAGGGGTGGTGGCACATGCCTCTAATCCCAGCTACTCCCGAGGCTGAGACAGTAGAATCACTTGAACCCGGGAGGTGGAGGTTGCAGTGAGCCAAGATAGCGCCACTGCACTCCACTCTGGGCGACAGAGCAAGACTCTGTCTCAAAAACAAACAAATGAAAAAACTTCATTATAGATAACAGATACCATATTCAGTTAAAAGGGAAAACAGCCTGGGAGCATATTCATGTATAACAGAGTATTAGGAAGTCAACTACACAAAGAACACACTGTTCAAATAAATAATAAGAAAGACAATAACGATACAGGTAGGCAATTCATAGAAGACATGCAAGTGACTGAAATACAGACAGACATGATGGATTATCAGTAACAAGTCATTGTATTGGACCTAACTAGAACTTTGGTGCCCATTATCATTATGCATTATTAAAATTACATTAAATACGTATGAATGTGTCTACTAGGATTTCAGATCTCAACAGAGAAATTGACATAGCTTTAAATAGAAAATATGGTATTTTACAAAGTTCAGAATCTTATCAACAAACCAATATCTGGAATTTCTATTATACTGTTGTACCATGTGAAGTTGGCCAGATATGAACAAAATAGAGTGTTTCTGTTTTGAAGAAAAAAAGTAAACATACAGGCCTCTGCTATTCTCAAGGATCCTGAATTTTCTAAGTTAACGCTGACAATTGCTTATATTTTTGAAGCAAAAGAAGGACACAAGTTATGGTTTCAGTTAAAAATGAAATAAGCAACTTTTCTTTCCTCAAAGCCCTGCTTAGGCAAATAGACTAATGGGGCGGGGGGGAAGCCCAGAAACAGACACATGCATGTATAGACAACCGATTTATTACAAGGTGAACTGGGAAAGATGGCCTTCTCAATAAAGGGTATTGTGTCAACTGGCTCCTCATATTAAAAAAAAAAAAAAAAAAAATGAAACTTGTCCTCCACTTCATATCATGCACATGAACAAATTCCAGGTGGAATACAGATCTGAATGTCAAGGCAAAAAACAATAAGGCTTCTCTGTGTTACAGAATACAGGAAAAGATATTTATTATGACTTTGAGATTGGAGAAAATCTCTAAGAAGACAAAAACAGCACAATCCATAAAGGAAAAGCACTTCTCTTCTTTAAGAAGCATCACTATGAGCGCAAACACAAGCCACAGAGTGAAAAAGGTATCTTCAATACACATAAACAACATAGGGCTCATATGCAGAATGAATTCCTGTAAATCTGTAAGAAAATGACTGCCAATTTTTTAAAGGAGGAAGAGACTTAGACATTTCAAAAAAGAAGTCGGGCATGGTGGCTCATGTCTGTAATCCCGGCACTTTGGGAGGCTGAGTTGGGTGGATCACGTGAGGTCAGAAATTCAAGACCAGCCTGGCCAACATGGAGAAATCCCATCTCTACTAAAAATACAAAAATTAGGCGGGCGTGGTAGTGCATGCCTATAATCCCAGCCACTCGAGAAGCTGAGGCAGAAGAATCACTTGAACCCAGGAGGAGGAGGTTGTAGTGAGCCCAGGCCGTGCCACCGCATTCCAGCCTGGATGACAGAGTGAGACTCCATCTCAAAAAAAAAAAAGGATACCCAAATACCCAGTAAGTATATAACCAGGTATGAACTTCACTGGCTATTGAGGAAATGTAAATTACAACCACAATGAGAAACCACTACACATCCATCCATTCCAGGGGAAAATAATAAAAACAGATGGTAAATTTTGGGGAATAAAAAAATCAAGATAAAAGCTAATGAAAGGTAAGGCAGAAGACTGAAAGGTTCTCAGCTGCTTATTTGTCTAAACAAAGGATACATATTTCATTCACTTCAGAGCCATGTTATTATTCAATAGTCTTTATCTTACCCAGATATCACAATAAGCCCAGTCCTACAAATTAGAAACCTCAGGGTGAAATCCTCTCTCTTTCTCACTCTATCCAGAGGTTAGCCTTGGAATCCCTCCCAGCACTTCAATTTCTATCCAACAATTCATCCTTATAGCAATTAACTGGCCAGTCACAGTGGCTCATGCCTGTAATCTCAGCACTTTGGGAGGTTGAGGCAGGTGGATCACTTGAGGTTAGAGAAGTTCCAGACCATCCTGGCCAACATGGTGAAACCCCTTCTCTACTAAAAATACAAAAATTAACTGGGTGTAGTGGTGCATGCCTGTAATCCCAGTTACTCGGGAGGCTGAGGCAGGAGAATTGCTTGAACCTGGGAGGCAGGGGTGGTTGCAGTGAGTGGAGATCACGCCACTCTGCTCTAGCTTGGGCGACAGAGCAAGACTCTGTCTCAAAAACAAAGACACCCAATTAATCGGTATAGTCTTCCAATTAGTCTTCTTGTCACCCATCTTCTTCACCGTATCAGTTCATACTGCTACACTACACTGTTCTAAATCACAAAACAGGTAAAGTCATCAGCATGGTTTGTTATAAACCTTTACAATCTAGCCCTCACCTACCTTATTTAACAGCCTAATTTTTCTAACCTGGAAACTCAGCAGGTTAGTCTCATTGTCAGGTTGGCCTCATTGTTGACCAAATGGGCCACCTTCTTGAACTCCTCTGTCTTTTCCTCTCCTGGGTACGCCCTTTCCCCTCTCTATACCTCATGATTCTATCAAATCCAACGTAAACGTCACTAACTTTCTGAAGCCTGCCCCGATCCTTCCCACTGTAATTTACTGTTTATATGTTGGCTGCATTCACTAAACTGTTAATTTGATGACAGAAATTCTTGTTCACCTTAATGACTGCTCTAGCATTTAATCTAGAACCTGGTATAGAGTAGGTACTGTTTGATGTATACTGAATGAATAGAATTATGTCAATAGAGACATTTACTATGAACTTACCAATGTGAGAACATATTTTAAAATACACACACACACCCCCACACACTTACCAAAAAAAACTCTAGAGCTGGTAAACAGATAGAGGAAAACACAAATCCATCCTTAAAATATCTGTCTTTACTAAGGAATATAACCATAATAGGCTTAACAGTGCCATGAATTTACATTAATTTAACTTAAATCAAATTTAAAAAATAAGTAAAAATTATACTTGATGAGACCCCTCCTAAAACCATTTTAGAACAAGCATATACATAAGCAATTATGTACACAAAGGTAGACTATTGCTCAGTTAAGCCTATAAATGTTGTACCCACCCTGTAAGAATATTAGGAACATTTAAGGCTTATGTAAACATTTAACATATTCCCATTAAAATAAACTGTTCATCAAAAGATGAGTTTGTCTAAAAATTAAAAGATGGGGCTTGCTGAGATGCCAAAAAGTCTGTCAGAGATGGAAAATATACTTTAATAAAGATAACAGATTTAAGGAAAAAAGTTTTAAAATTTATTTTTGGATTGTTTCTAAAATCAAGTATAAAAATATGCTTAATATTACCTTAAAATAGTTTCATGTGTTAAGTATTAAGTATATTTTACTACAACAAAAGATATATTTGTAAAAACTCTAACATCACCATTTTCTAAGCTTCAAATCAAGTTTACCTCTTTCTTAAGCAGACTTTCTCATTTTCACTTTGGAGATAAACCAGGTGTAGTTTTACAAATGGTTAATCAACATTTTTTGAAAGTGAGAAACCACACAGAAAGCAAGCTTTCTATATTTGCCTAAAACAATTTATAGCCTCCTCCATCTCTTTTAATGTATTCAAAATTATTCTAGATATTATTAATCCTAAAATATTAATATACACGATGCAAAACAATATTTTTAGACTTGTTTTGATGAGAAATTTCTAAAATTAAACTAAATGAGACTACTGTAAAATGTCCAGGTCTCAGTAACAAATTTTACTTTTGTTGTCATGGAAGGCTTTGATAATTACTTAGGAAAGATTTTAAAGCCATGTCATATCACATTAATTTTTTCATTAGTTTTTAGAAACACAAATTTGGTCAAAGAAACCTTTCTAGAACGGAGTAAATTCACTTTCTCCACATGAACATATACCTGAATCATCGGCCAATCTGCTAATTCTTTCCAAAACAGCGATACAATCTCTTTCATCATCGCAGACTTCCCTCAAGGTATCCAGCAAACTCCGGGCCACCATTTGTCTACACAGAAAAACAAGATTACATATGTTCAATGGCATCAACAGCTAATATCCAGAATTTTATTTTTTTGAGACAGGGCCTCATTCCTGTTGCCCAGGCTGGAGTGTAATGGTGCGACCACGGCTAACTGCAGCACTGACTTCCCTGGCTCAGGTAATCCTCCCACCTCAGCCTCCTGAGTAGCTGAGACTACAGGCGTGCACCACCACACCTGGCTAATTTTTAAATATCTTTAGTAGAGATGGGGTTTCACCATGTTGCCCAGGCTGCTCTCAAACTCCCGTGCTCAAGCAATCCACCTGCCTTGGCCTCCCAAAGTGCTGGGATTACAGGCATGAGTCACTGCGCCTGGCCCGTATCTAGAATTTTAAAAGACAAAATCTACACATTTTTTAAGAAATTTTTTTCTTATTACATTATTAAAACACATATTAGGTCTATAATTTTCTAAGTGGCAAATGGCAGTATTGATTTTATTTTAACAAGATGAGACTGAATATTTACAACATTTTTTAAAATCTTTATCTAACTGATTGGGCAAAAAGTCACCAAAAATTCATTTCAGTTCTCTTTCAATTATTATAATGAAAAAACACATTCATTATACAAAATGCTATCCTTACATATTTTTAACAGTATCAGTTTTGCATAGCTATACCCAAAAAATCTGAACAGACTTTTTGATTTCCCAGAAAAGTGTGATGTAAGTGGTCTGGGATCGTGGCCGGACAAACACAATGCAGCAGGAAGAGTGCTGGCTCTTGGTCACTGCCATGTGACCCAATGACCTTAAGCATCACCTGTCACACAGCAGGTATACAACATCATGTGTTGAAGGAATAACGCACTTTCCAATAAGCAATTTATATGAATACCAAAATTATGTCCAGTGGCAGAAAAGCAATGGTAATTAATGGTAATTTTTTTGCAAAGAAAGCATGTTGTATGCTTACTAGGATCAAAGAATAAACAAGTACAAAACTGCTCATGCTATGATTACGAATAAAACTTGGTGACTCAGATTGTGCCTGTTAATAATACCTCCTTTAAAATGGATACTTTCATTTTCCCTACTGAGGTTAGTAAAACCACCCTTCCACTTCCACTTTAACAAAAAGAATATGCACATACCTGTTAAATACGTTCTCACTTGCAGCATACTTGTCCAATCTCCCCAGGGGCGTCAACATTTCATCTTGTGAGACAAAGTCCAGGGCTGAAGGTATAATAATCACATCAGACTCTGAGCTGTAGTCATCCACACCAACTATCAGAGACATCAGAAATACTCCTTATAACACTTTGAAACTAAAATGTACCCCTTGCCTGTCTGAAGCAGTAAAAATCTGTTTCTGGAATGGTACAAAAAAAAAAATCATAAGAGACTCTCAGAATCAATCCAGAAGCCACAAATAACTAAAAGATACCTCCCTTTCCTTTTTCTACAGATATGTTCTACTTGGCTCTATAATGACAAAGTTCTACTTGGCTCTAAAAGCACAAGGGTCAGAGGCTACAGAAACTCAGTATGCAGGAAACAGTGATCAGAGTCTTGAGAACATGTTCAATTAAGACACTAACAACTTGTGAATAGACACACAAAAAGTCTAGCACCGATATAGTGAATCCTGCAATGTAGAAGATAAAGCTAATGAAACTGGTATCTAACTTCACTTAACAGAGGAAAGCTAAAAACACTAGTATATTCATATTCATTAAACAAATATTTATTAAATACATTTGTGCCAAGTACTAGGGTAGTTGCTGGGGAGACAATAATGAAAATACTAATGTTTCTGCTTTCAAAGAGCTAATATTCTACATAAAACAATCTACTTTAAAATGATCATTGTAATAAAAGTATGTATTAATACTAGAAGGCCAGACACCCATTCAAGCTGCAGGAGAAGGAAGAAAAGACCAAGAAAGAAAGGCTAAAAACCAACCAAAAGATAATTATTTCAAAGGAACCAAGCAATGAGTGAAGGTATGATTAAACAGCATCTACTACCAAAGGAGTCAAGGAAGAATTGAAAGGTGCCCACTGAATTGGGTACTTTTGTGCCATGCTGTATGACAAGGGCGATTTTCCACTGTATGAAAGCTGAGAAGCCAAACCTGACTGAAGAGGTAGAGGAAAATATAAGAAAGTGAAGACAAGGAATACAAAATATACTTTCCAGAATTGTGGTTGTGAAATAGTAAACTGGATTAGATTACTAGCCAGGGCATTCAAACAAAATAAAGATTATTTATTTTGTTTTGTTCCTAATGTTTAAAAGAAGACAAAGATTTGCACATGGTTATATAATGAAAGTAAACAGTCAACAAATAAACATAAATTGAAGTTTTAGCAATAAGAAAATATTACTGATGGAAACACCATGAGGTTGGAAAGGATGGGATCCAGAGCTAAATAAGAACTCTTCAACTGCTACAGTTCAGGGCCTTTCCCAAGGCCCTAAGAGTTTTCCAAGAAATTTTCTTATTATTTCCTGGCACTTCCTATTCTATCCCCTGCATTACTTGATTTACTTTCTCAACAGTGCCTGTCAACATCTGGTAATATTAGTTGTTTTACTTATTGTCTGTCTCTCTAGAGTAAGTTATTGGCTCCATGAGGACAGGAATTTTTATCCCATACACTGCTTCATCTCCAGGATATTTCCAGGCACAAAGTAAGCATTTAAGTATTTTTGAAACAAAAAAATCTGTTCATCACTCACAATGAGATTCTGTCTTTGCTCCTTTAGCTCTTTTCTTAGGAGAGAAAAAGAAAACCACCTAAGAAACTCTTCCCAAATGTTGCTATATGAGTGACAGAAAAGATTCATCATTTCCTAATGAAATGTTATTGCTATTAGGGCATTTTAAAACGCTTGTTTTTAAATTAAATGTGTATATACCATGGGACCATCTTACAGAACTGACTACTTTAAACAGGTAACATCGTTTTTACTCCCAATAGAACATTATCAAAAAGAGACCACAAAACACAGCACAGTTCCTTTTGTTAAAAATAAAATAACTTCTGTATTTAAAGAACACTTAAACATGGTCTTCCACTTTTGAAAAGGATGGATTAACAAGAACCAACTTAACCCTCACACCTTAAATGGTAAATAAATAAATAAATAAAATGACAGAGCCAGGTATGCCGACAGTGTCTGTAGTCCCAGCTACTTAGGAGGCTGAAGCAGGAGGATTGCTTGAGCACAGGAGGTCGACACTGTAGTGTTCTATAACTGCATCTGTGAATAGCCACTGCACTCTAGCCCCTGAGAAACACAGTGAGACCCCCATCTCTTAAAAAAAAAAAGATAAAACATATGAAGTCATGGTATCAGACACTGACAAAAGACAGTACTGGACAGTGATCTCTGAGAAAGAGAGGACAAATGAAATGAGCCCTATATTCTTCCAGTTAACTTCCTGGAAATAATTTCCAGAGCACTAGGAAGGTCCAAATATAATCTCAGCAGACTCCTCGAACTGAGGAGACAGAGTTGAGAATTCAGGGAGGCCAAGGCAGCTAGAATTGGCAGAGGAAGAGTATCACAGAGGAGGGACCTTCACAGAGAAAGAACCTCAGAAAGCTACAGAAGGTCCCTTTGAGTCTTTGAGTACTCAAACAGTTTATGTGTGTGAGGAAACTACTCCGTATTCTGGGAAAAATAACTACCTGAAATGATCAAGTGAACAAATTCTCGATTATCACAAAGGACAAGGACTAGTTTATGTCTCCACCAACAAAAATTTTAAAAATTCTATACTAAATGAGGCAAAACGCCTAAGAAGTGGCAAACAATTCTCCTGGTTTTGCCTAACAAAGTTTAACAGGCTTCAAAAGAAACAAACTATATCCAAAAAACTGTGTCACAGAACAAAACTCAAGTATGTAAAGAAATATAAAAATAGCTAGCACTCAACAAGGTAAACTCCACAACGTCTAGCATCCAATAAAAAATTACTAGGCACACAAAAGGCAGGAAAATACAAACCATGAGGCAAAAAATTCTACAACAGAAACAGACCCAGAACAAAGAATATAGAATTAGTAGATAAGGACATTGAAAGTTATTTTAATTATATTCCATACATTTAAGAAGGCAGAAAAAAAGAGCATGTTAAGAAGAGACACGGAAGATGGTATGAAAGACCTAAATTGATCTTTTAGAGATGAAAAAAAGATATGAAAAATACATGGGATGGGATCAAGAGCAGATTAAACATTACAGAGGAAAAAATGTGTTACCTTAAAGAAAAAGCGTAAGAAAAATATCCCAAATGAAACAGAAAAAATATGGGGGAGGAAGAAAATTAAGCATCAATCAATTGTAGGAAAACTCCCAGCATCCAAATATATGTGCAAACAGAGTCCCCAAAGAAGAATGGGAGATATAAAATATATCTGAAGAAATAACGGACAAAATTTTCCCAAATTTGGTAAAAACTATCAATCTACAGATAGATTCAAGGGGTTCAATGAAACCCATGAGCAAGAAACATGAAGAAAAGTATACCAAGGCACAATATAATCAAATTGCTTAAAGCTGGTGATAGAAACTTTTGGGCAGCCAGAGAAAAACTCAAGTTATATACAGAAAAACAAAAATAAGAATGATAGCAGACTTTTCCATCTAAAATACAAGTCAGAAGACAGTAACATCTTTAAAGTACATAAAGAAAAATACCTACAACTCCATACATAAGAAATAGAAATCTTCCAAATATGAAGCTGAAATAAAGATTCTTTCAGCCATACAAAGACTGCTATCATCAACAGCAGACATGCACTATAGGAAATACTAAAGCAAATCATTCAAGCAAAAGTAAAATTACACCAAATGAGAATCTGGATCTATACAAAAGAATAAAGGGCATCAGAAACAATTAATATGGGGCCGGGCACAGTGGCTCACGCCTGTAATCCTATCACTTTGAGAGGCCGAGGCGGATGGATCACTTGAGCTCAGGAGTTCAAAATCAGCCTGGGCACTATGGTAAAACTGTGCCTCTAAAAAAAATACAAAAATTAGCTGGGCATGGTGGCATGCACCTGTAGTCCCAGCTACTTAGGGGGCTGAGGCAAGAGGACTGCTTGAACCTGGGAGGTCAAAGCTGCAGTGACCTGAGATGGCGCCACTGCACTCCAGTCTGGAGGACAAAGCAAGACCCTGTCTCCAGAAAAAAAAGAAAGAACAAAAAGTTAATATGGGATAAATAAAAAATTTCTTATTTTTCAAGTATCTAAAAAATAACTGCTTAAATAAAACTATGTACTAAAAAATAAATGGATAAATATATATTGTGGGGTTCACAACACATGCAGAAGTATAATATATGACTACAATAGCACACAGGCAAGAAAAGGGTATACTGTTACAAAGCTCTTACGCTGTGTGTGAAGAGATACATATTACTCGAAGTTGACTGTGGAAAAGTAAAAATGCATATTAATTACAAACTCTAAAGCAATCATTATTTAAAAAGAAACACACATACACCAAAGACATACAACTACTAATCCAGTACACCCCATAAGTAATCGAAAAGAACGCACAAAAAGAGAATAAAGGGAACAAGAAGAGATGAGACAAACAAATGAGAAACAGCAAGATAAAGAGATTTGAACACAACCATATCAGCAACTACATTAAGTGCAACTGGTCTAAATAGCCCAACTAAGGCAGAGACTGTCAAATTGGATTACAAACAACACCTAACCATGAACATAACTATACAGAGCAGAAACACTTTATACAGCTTATTCTAGTCTACAATTCATAGCAAAATACCTTATTAATTATAAATCAGAGCTGTAAAAGCCATTCAGTCACTCTCATCTGGCCAGTTTTCTCCTTTATAAGACTGTTAAGCTAGCATAACCTTGAAACACCTTTATAAACGCTCTAGAATTCTATCACTATGACCAAACTGTTTCATCAGTCTCACACTTGTTAATCTTAAAGATAAACAATAAAATTGATTCTGGCCCATAAAAAGCAGAGGGCAGTAGGAAAAAAACTCCTACAGCTGTGACTGCCAAACATAATTATGTTCAAGACAAGCTTGGAGCACTTACCTAAAATGCAGATACCTAGATCCCACACTCAGATACTTATTTACTTTGGAGTAAGGCTCAGGAGCATTTATTTTTAGATAAATAACTCCACTAATTTAAATGCAGACTGTTAAACAACCATACTTAAGAAGCATACTCCTAGGAGGTAACAAAATCATATTCTGCTTCAAATGTTTTGCTACCAGTCTATCATGT